GTCAGTAGCATACTAGGATCAAGGGCTACCAAGTTTGTTTAAATGTATGACCTTGAATCATATTCAAGGTCACAAGGAGCAAATATGTTTAAAATATTTCAACAACTTGTTCTGAATAACCAAAAGGCTCAGGATGTTGATATTTAGTTAGTAGCATATGCTGGGATCAAGGACTACTATGTTTGTTAAAGTGAATGACTTTGACTTATATTCAAGGTCACATGGGTCAAATTTGTTTAAAATCTTTAAACAACCTCTTATGAATAACCATGGGTGCCAGGATGTTTATACTTTGCAAGTTTCATCCTGAGATGAAAGGCTATACAATGTGTTCAACATAATGACTTTGTTCGACTTTCAATCACAGGGGTGAAATGTTTAAAAAAAACATTAACAGGGTCTTTTGAACGAATTTTAATCATAAATACTGATATTTTGCCTGTAGCTTTATTTCAGATCACTTTTAAGGTTACAAGTGTGAGTTTTATACCAGGTGAGCGATGCAGGCCCGTTGGGTCTCTTGTTATCTTTTGATGTGTTATGAAGACTATAACAATGCAAAGGTTTTTCCACAGAAAAGATTTTTGTGTCATTGGTCAACTTTTTGATTTCGGTAGGAGTCAAAATTCAAATGCACTATTTTGGGTAATAACATTTATTTGTAAAGCTTGTTCTCAAGTTCTGTGAGGTCTACATGTACAGTCTTGATATTTGATCTGCCAGATGTGAGATGGTTTGCTATCAGGTTAAAGAAAAATGACTTACCTTGATCAAAATCATATTATTTTTTAAAAGAAAATATTTCGAAAACAGTTAAATGCATTAACATTGTTATCTGGTATGACATGAAGGATGCTATGGGTCAATATGGATAAAAGTTTGAATGTGCCGTTTCAGAGTAAAATCTATGAAAAAGTTCATCTCAAGTTCAACTAAGTCTTGAGTCTTGATATTTGATCTGTATACATGTACATGCTCAAGAGATTGGCTATCAAATTCAAAAGTATCACCATGATCGACCTTGTTCAACCTTGATCAACTTTCACGGTCACATGGATCAAATTAAACATGTCAAAATAACCTCCTGTAAATAAGGAAGAGGCCTACAATTGTAGGTCCATAGTCTTTAGCAAGGAGCATTCGGAAAATTAAGGCCTTCAACATTGTTTCAATGAATGACCTTGATTTACATGAAATATGACTATATCAATGACTGCCAAAATCAGTCTTTAACTTTTTTGGCATGGTAGCAGGGCTTTCAGTACTTTGATTCATTTTAAATGGAAAACAAAGATTCTTTCAAAGCTCTCCGTTTCTATATAGAAGTTAAAGACCATGAGGATATAAAAAGTTTTGTGATCTAAGACCAAATCAGTCCAAATTATGGTAAAAAGCCTGTCAAGTTGTTTCAAACATTTTCTATGCTAGTTTAAGTTTGTTATCTAAAGGTATTCCTCAAAAAATGCTTGACAGATCTTTCTCAAATTTCACGCACAGATTCCCCTTGGTCTGTATACGTAGTTTTGCATGCTACATTTCGAGACTGATTAAAAAAGCATTGGCAGCTATGTTGGATTTTGACTGTTTACATGTGTTATTGCTATTTTTCAAGAAATGCTTGACAGCTCTTTTTCTTTGCGATTATATATTATAAGTACTTAAACTTTTTTGTTATTGTAGATTTGATGGATCTGATGAATTACATCAATCAGCCATGGAAGTATTCCTCGTCTGACAACTGACCACTGGTGTGAACTAGAACTTTGTTACTAAGAGAGTTCAAATACCGATCATTCTGACACTGGTGAACCCTTTTGTATAGTGAGAAAGGATGTGTAAGTTTGTTGGCCTTAAATGGGACACTTAAACAACTTGTTGTTTATAAAGAATCAACAACATTATTCTAATTCTTTTACACCATGGATAGAGAGCCCACCAGAACTTAAGCATTTTATTGACTTGGTCAGACCGCCGCAGGCATGGATGCATCTGTAATGCGGTATGCAGATGGTCGATATGGAGCCGTCCGTAACATCTATGAGGAGACAAACATTCGTCCTTTCTATATGTCACCTATGCACTACCAGTCTTACTTGACAGGACGAGGTCTGGATGAAGCTAACATGCACGGCATGGTCCCGCCACACATTGTTAACATGCCCCATAAGTGTAATAACTGTGGTGCTGCATTTGAACGTGCGGAACAGCTGAAAGAACACAACTGTCTTCAGGGAGGAGTAAAACACACTAATTACAGCATGTATGGTAATAAGAACATGGTGCCACCGGTTGTGCACCCTTCTCACAAGGAACATGGTAATGAGAATGTCTTGGACTCTTTGAAGGATCCAAGAAATATAGGAGATGTGGGAAAGTCATGCAACAACACTGTTCCCCATGAAAGGTGTCCAAGTGCTGCTGAATCCATCCGGGAACAACAGCATGGTGCTGGTCCAGGAAGAAGTGATTTCTGTTCGGATCATCTTAAGGAGAGTGTCCCCCTCCCAATTGAGCAGAAACCAACAACATGCAGTGCAGATATATGTGGTCACAACTATGGAACGGTGGAGTACTTGCGGGAGCAGCTTCGCATGCAGACAACAGTGAAACCTTTTATGTGTATCTTTTGTGGGTTGTGCTTCAATGGGACACATGTTAATGACCATAATTGTCGTCAGAGAACAGAAAAATCGAACACTAATGACCTGATGTTTGGAAGCACTGTGGAACAGTTAAGGGAACGCATAAGTATGCAGGTTATGATGAAACCATTTCTCTGCATCCTATGTGGAGACTATTTTGAGAGGACAGACAACATCAATGCCCATAATTGTGTTCCACATGCCACTGCTGCAATAGCCGCTGTCACTGCTGCTGCCACATCCGATACTACACCAAAGAAACCTGACACAGCTACAAAGACACAGGGTACAATGCCTAAAGAGAAGCCATATAAATGTTTGGAATGCAACAAGGATTTCAGTCGCAAGGATCACCTGAAGAAACACATGGGTATTCATGCAAAAGAGAGACCGTTCAAATGTGAAAGGTGTGAAAAAGATTTCACCAGAGCTGACCATCTCAAAGAACACATGTTTGTTCACACAGGAGAAAAGCCATACATGTGTGTTCTTTGCGGGAAGGGTTTTAAGAGATCTGACCATTTGAAGCTGCACAACTGTTCCCAGATCACAGAGAAGCCATTTAAGTGTGATTTGTGTCAGAAGAGCTTTGCCAGAGTGGACCATTTGAAAAAGCATGGCTGCATACATGGCCCAGAACGTGACCGCCCTTTTATCTGTGACATTTGTGGGAAGGGCTTCATAAGGATCGACCATTTGAAGAAACACAAACACACTCATTCAACTGAGAAGCCATTTAAGTGTTTTGTGTGTGGTAAGGGTTTCAACAGGTCGGATCACCTCAAGAAGCATACAGATACTCATTCATCAGAAAGACCATACAAATGTGAGATATGTGGGAAAGGCTTCAACAGGACTGATCACCTGAAAAAACACAAATATATTCATTCACCAGATAAACCATTCAACTGCGAGATTTGTGGGAAGGGGTTCAACAGATCAGATCATCTCAAAAAGCACAATTGTACACATACGATCAAGTCACCCAAAGATTCAGGATATCCATCCATGGTACTGCCAATCCCTCGAAATCCAGCCATGGTTGAACCATTGCCACAAAGTTCGGCTATATCAGAATCTTTGTCACGAAATGTTAGCCTAGATTCAATGTCCAGAAATACCACCATTGGGGAACCTATGGCTCGTAATGCGGCTATGGCCATTCCTGTAGCCCCAAAGGACTCATCTCAAGACACCAATGATGAAACTACAAGCCAAAAAGAATTTGGATCTGATAAGTCAACCGGTGACAAAAGTCAAAGTGCTGTCCAGAGTTCAGAACGACAATTTTCTCCGGATCCTTTTAAGTTTGAACATTCAGAACACAGACTTGTACAGAATCTCGTTGATGAAAATCTAAGAAAACTGTTTGCTGACAAGTCAATAATGGAACAATCTACCAGGAATGATACACCAAGTGGTCCAGCATTTCCACAATCTGGACAAATGAACATACAGCCAGGCCAAAGTATTTCAAGGTCAGCTCAGACAGTGCTGCAAGCTGGGCAGACATTCACTCAGTCAGGGCAGAATAGCACTCAAGCAGCTCAAACATACACCCAATCCAGTCAAAGTTTCTCACCATCAGGGCAAAACATATCAGATTCTGGACAGACTATTACACAATCTGGTCAAAGCATTAGTCACACTGGCCAAACATTTACACAATCTGGTCAAACATTCACGTCTGTAAGTATGTCACCGTCAGGCCAAAGTATGTCTCAGTCTGGACAAAGTATGACTCCTTCAGGGCAACATAATGTGACCCAGGCTGGACAGAATATGACACAATCTGGACAAACCATTGCACACTCTGGACTCAATTTTACACAATCTGGACAGAATATGTCTCCTGCAGGAAACCTCTTTTCACAGTCCGGGCATACGGGTATGCAAAATGGTTTCTATAACAACACTTCAGGATTGCATGCAGTGAAACCGTATGAATTTGACCACCGTAATGTGAACAATTGAACAGTTATGTAATACCATGTGCGATACATACACCTGCTGACAAATCAAACTATTGGTCAACATGGGCTGCATTTAAAATTCTGTTCAGTGCTCGACTGGTGTTGGTAGGTTTAGGGAGGATTCAGTATCATTTGTTTTCTCACTTGACCCAGAGGGAAATGTGAGCTTGTGCAATGGTGTGGCATCCGTTGTCTGTCCATCCATTCATCCTTAGAGAGTAATGTATTATACCAATGCATGGGGTTTGGGGGTTGTCATACTGAAAACAGATTATTTGATTTTTTCAAAAATAGAAATTATTTTCCAAATTAAATCCATATTGTCCTTGTTAGACCCCACATGAACATCCATGCCAAACATTAGGACAATAAGATGATCTGACTGAACTGTACACCACTGAAGAAACTTTAACGGAGAAAATGCACGAGAACAGTTTAGTACCCAAACACGTCCAAAATTTCCAAAAATAGAAAACTTTAAATCCTTTTCACAAGTTCCTCTCATAGCTCTAATTAACCTTTAAACAGACATTCCTGTCATAGTTCTGATCATGTAGATGTTGCTTTCATAAATTGATCAACGGCAAGCCTTGTTATTTTTCACATCATAATAAAAAAAAATACCTCTTGTTCTCTGCTTCAGGCAAATATGCTAACAGATTTTGATTGGAATAATGCTGTCATAAATTGGTCCTTAACATGAATTGCTGTTTTTTCTGGTTGATATTTTTTCACTGATTGTCTTAAACACCAAATAATTTTAAGCACATATTTGGTTAGTTAGAAATCTGAGATTGCTAGCTATTTTTGCTACTTGATCTCAAGTGATTGAAAATATTTCCTCTGCTTGACTATTTCAGATAACAAACTGGTGAGCGTTTAGGGTCCAGTGTGGATATTGTGCCATTTGTTTTGAGGAAGAGTCATATGTAGACAGTTATTATGTCATGTTGTCAAAACATTTTGTGCCAATTCTTTCTTTTATGAGTATAGACAACAGCTTTTGTTGTTAAATTTGTAACTTTGTTCATTTCTGTTAGAATAGTGCTAAAAAGGAAAACTACCTACTTTAATTTGATCAAAGTTTAAAGATCTAAATACAATGTATAACATATAACTTGCATGTTTACAAATATATACCAATGCTTTTACTGTAATATTCAAATCACCCTTTGTCTCTGGTCTGTCATGATCAGCGTCCATCAATCCGTCATTCCGTCCGCCTGTCCTTTTGTGTCAGCGTTATCTCTTTGTACTAGTAGAGGAATCTTTCTGGAAGGTTCCCCATGGTATTAAGTTACACATATCAAATCATGGATCAGAAATCAAAGATGGCTGACAAGTGGCCATCTCTAACTTTGAGGATTGAAGTTTGTCAGCTTTTTTTCTCATTAAGTACTTATTAGATCTTTCTCCAATTTCACATAAAGGTTTTCCATAGTATTTAGTTACGCATATCATAATATGGGACTGATAAAAAAACGAAGATGGCTGACGGGTGGCTATCTTGAATTTTGAGAGTTGAACTTTGTTAGAGCTTTTTCTCAGAGTATCTGAGGGATCTTTCTTGAATTTCACATGAAGATTATCTGTCGCCCTTAGTAATGCAAATTTAATTGTGGGACTGATCACAAAATCAAGATGGCTGACAGGTGGCAATCTTGAATTTTGAAAGTTTAAATTTATTGGCGCTTTTTCTAAGAAAGTCCTGGAAGGATCTTTCTTAAATTTGATATTAAAATTTACCAATGGTGCATTACAAATTCTTGCACTGATCGCAAAAACAACATGACTGACATGCTGCCATCTTGAATGTTGAGAGTTTAAGTTTGTTAGTGCTATTTCTCAGAAAGTACTGAAGGAATTCTTCTCAAATTTCATATGATGGTTTTCCATACTACTAAGCTATGAATGTTGAATTTTTTAACTGATCTGGAAACCAAAATGGCTGACAGGTAGCAATCTATAATTATGAGAGTTAAAGTTTGCACTATTAAGAAAGTACTGGAGGTAATTTTCTTGAATTTAACTATAAGTTTTTTAATGGTCTGTTCTTATGAATATGAAATTTTTGGACAGATCGAAAAAAAAAAAAGGATGGCCACCTGACAGCCATCTTGAATTTTTGACAATTCAATTTCGTTATTACTAATGTATGTTCCCATTGGTCCCCTTTTGGGAAAATACCCCTGGCCCTAATGATAATTCAACTGTCATTGGCAGCACTTCTAAGTTAATGTACAAAATTCCCATTTAGGATTTCTTTCATGGGACTGGGTAATAGTACCTGTTACGAAAATGAACAGCAAAGAGGTCTGACAAAGATCCATTCATGGTGGGGCACCAAGATCCTTCTAGGATCTCTTGTTGTATTAAGTTGTGTTAACTGTTTTTTTGATGTGTTGAAAAATCTTTGGCCATGCCAGTGTTGTAGGCATGGTTTGGAGCAACACATTTGGTAAGGTACTGTAACCTGTTTGTTGACAAGAGTGATACTGTAAGGAGATAGTTCCTTTTACGCATGCCAAGTTGTATATTAACATTTAAGTAACAGGCCTAGATTATGAATATATTTTCAGCTCATTTGGTGTGAGTTGCGTGTAAGCTTATGGTATAGGTTGGTATCAGGTGTCCGGTATTTATATTTTGCTTATTTTTAACTAATCACCATCAGAAGTGGGCTGTCATTCGTCCGTGGTTCATCAGTCCATCATTCCATCTATCCTTAAACAATTCTTGCCAGTGCTATTACTCAGAAATTACTGGAGGGATCTTGCTCAAATTTCATGTGGCAGTTCCCAATGGTCCTTCGTTATTATCAATTTTGGGTGTTATCAGACAGCTGTGATGGCCAACAGGCAGCCATCTTTAATTTTTAGAGTTTAAGTTTGCTAGCACTATTTCTTAGAAAGTAAGGGAGAGATCTTCCTCAAATGTGATAGGCAGGTTTCCCTTCGTCTATAACTGGGTAGGTTTACTTGTCAGACTGATTGGGAAAATGACCGAATTGTGTCCATCTTTTGACAGTAAATGTTTGTAATTATCTCTATTTCTCAAAAAAGTATCAGAACTAGAGGAATCTTCCTCAAATTTGTTATGTAAGTTCCTTTTGGTCTTTACTTGTGCATGTATTCTTTTGAGACTGATCACTTAATCAAAATGGCCGACAGATGGCTATCTCGGGGTTCAACAGTTAAGATTTGTTATCACTTTCGCAGAAAGCACTAAAGGGATTTTTATCAAATTTGATATGTTGGTTCTCCTTGAAGTATAGCTGTGCAAGTATACTTTTTAGACTGATTGGAGAAACAAAACGGATGATAGGTAACCATCTTGGATTCTGACAGTTCAGATTTGTTATTGCTATTTCACAGAAGTACTAGAGGGATCATTTTCAATTTTGATTTGTAAGGTCCCCTCCATCTGTAGTTGTGCATGTTTGTTTTTGAGACTGATCAGATCATCAAAAATGCTGACAGGGGGTCATTTTGAATTTTGACAGAAAGTACTGGAGGAATCTTTCTCAATCTTTACATGTACTGTATGTTTCCCTTGGTTCCTTGTTAAAAATACTCCTTAATGCCCTAATGAGAACTCATCCCTCATTGACAGCGCTTCTATTATGTAAGAATTACTTATTTTGGTAATTTTCGAATGGTTATGAAATTCTTAACATTTGCCATAGTAGCAAAATACATAAGACATTACAAAGTTTAAGTTAGTGTATAAGATTCCTGTTTAGTATTTCAAGCATGGGAATTGTAATAGTATCTTTCAGGAAAATGAACAGCAAAGAAGGTAAAATATCACCTTTTGTAAATTTGATCAATATTTTTTCATGGTGGATGCCAAGAACCTTCTAGGATTTGTTATTTTTGAATGTCAAAATTTTAGAACTCGAAAAGTACATATTTTGGGTCATGATATTTGGCAAGTACCTACCAGGGATGGAGAGCAATATAAAATTTCCTCAAATGAAGTACATGTACATATTTTTAAGATGGAAGGGGTTAAATGTAAGAAGTCTGGAGGGCTAAAACCATAATAACTCAGTATGTTATTAAGTGTGCATCATTTCTTAGGTTAGTGCTTGATTTAAAGGCTAACTTTAGGAGGTTAGCATATAGGCTAATATTTGATGGAAGGTTTTAAAATCTTTCAAGTTTCAAAAGACCAAGCATCCTGTGGTGAGGTTCTATTATCTTTCCTTTGTCAAGTCACAGGGGTCAAATGTGTTGAAATCTCTAATTCTAAAGATCTGTAAGGCCAGGAGTAACAACAAAATCACAGGGGTCAAATGTGTTAAATCTCTAATTCTAAAGATCTTTAAGGTCAGGAGTAACAACAAAGTCACAGGGGTCAAATGTGTTAAATCTCTAATTCTAAAGATCTGTAAGGCCAGGAGTAACAACAAAATCACAGGGGTCAAATGTGTTAAATCTCTAATTCTAAAGATATGTAAGGCCAGGAGTAACGATTAAGGGATAAAAATCAATAACATGTGTTCAAATAAATTACTTTCCCACTTTTAAGTCATATGGGTGAAATGTAATAAAAGTTGTAACACTCTTTCTGAAGATGGCATTAGATCTGCAATAATGATGTTGGCTTGTATCTTACTTTAGTGAAGTTCTATAAAGTTAAGGTCACAGGGGTCAAAATTTGTAAATAAACACAAATATAGGTAGCTTATACAGGCAGATACCATGCTATTACATGACTCATCTTGAAAATAATTGTTGATGTGTTCGTGGATAATTTACTCAGATGCTTCCAAATGTCAACTTGGCTGCGTTTATTTGTTGTTAATCATATCTCATGTACTAGTACATGTCTGTAGAATATGTAACATAATGTGTGCCAATTCATTTATTCTTGTTTTTATTAAATATTTACTTGCGCATGTATTCTTGGTCCAAGTATTAGAGTTATTGGTAACTTGCCATTTTAGTATTCCTGGTCCAACAAGGTGTTACATGATTTTATATTATCATTGTTGCTGATTCTTAGTGTTGCTGATATTATATTTTACCATTTGAAGGTTGTGTTATATGTGCATGTTGTGCTTCAGTTTTTATATCTTTTTTTCAATACACTAGATTTCATAGCATTGTATTAAGTCGAAGACTAGATGTACATTACTGTATACTTGTCTGAAAGGTTTAAAATTTTAAAAAAATGTTAATATTATTTCTAAAGAACCTCCCCTTTAATTGTTGAAGCTTAATTTATAGACAATCATCTGATGATGATGGGCTATTCAATTCAGCCTTTGTCCGTGTTCCCTGGTCTGTTCTAAAACAAATCTTGTTATCTTTATTTCTCATGAAGTACTGGAGAGGTCATGCTCAAATTTTATCTGTAGGCTCCCCTTGGTTCCTAGTTGTGCATAATTACTTTAGAGACTGTTCGGATATAAAAATGGCTGACAGATGACCATCTTGAATTTTCACAGTTAAGTTTTAGTATTTCTTTTCTCAGAAAATATTGGTGGGATCTTTATCCCTTCTCATGTATGCTTTCCTTATGTGAAAAATACCCCTGGCCCTAATGATAATTCACTCCTCTTGGACAGCTCTTCTAAATATGTAAGGATTACAAATCAGCATTTTGCATATAAAGTTACGAAATTTTTATACAAATCACATGGCATTACAAAGTTTAAGTTAATGTACAAGATTCCCGTTTAGGGTTTCCATCATGGGACTGGGTATAAGTACCTGTTAAGGAAATGGACAGCAAAGATATCATCTTTTGTAGATCTGATTAAGATCCTTCCATGATGGGCGCCAAGAGCCCCCTCAGATATCTTGTAAACAATCTCTCATAGTGATAGGTAATTTTGATCACATCCAATTAGTTTGTAAAATCCTGAATGAGAATGTGAAGTTTTGGTAATAGTATTGGTTATAAGTTGTGCATGATTAAATTTGAAACTGCTTCGGAGAACAGACAGCCATCTTACATTTTTACATTTTAAAGTTTGTTATCACTATTTCTTTAGAAATACTGGAGGGATCTTCATAAAGTCTAAGGGGGATATTTTTCAAACAACACAAGTCCATTTCCCTTGGTCCTTAGTTGTGCATGTCTAGTTCTAGAGCGAGGCTGTCATCTTTGAATTTGACATTTGTCATAGCACAGAAAATGCTGGAGGGATCTTTCTCTACGTCTCTATCTGGCACCCTCTTGGTTCTTGCTAGCATGACTATGAATCCGACAGGTACGAGAAAGTAGGAAAAAAATATGATTTTACTGTGGGGGATGCACAGGACTAAATAGGATTTTACTGTGGGTGATGCACAGGACTAAATAGGATTTTACTGTGGGTGATGCACAGGACTAAATAGGATTTTACTGTTGGTGATGCACAGGACTAAATAGGATTTTACTGTTGGTGATGCACAGGACTAAATAGGATTTTACTGTGAGGGATGCACAGGAATAAATAGGATTTTACTGTGGGTGATGCAGAGGACTAAATAGGATTTTACTGTGAGGGATGCACAGGACTAAATAGGATTTTACTGTTGGTGATGCACAGGGCTAAATAGGATTTTACTGTGAGGGATGCACAGGACTACATAGGATTTTACTGTGGGTGATGAACAGGACTCAATAGGATTTTACTGTGGGGGATGCACAGGACTAAATAGGATTTTACTGTGGGGGATGCCAAGTTCTCATCCTGTCCTTGTTTACTGCCATATTGTTTTTTGCTTTACTTTCCAGATTGTTTTTCCATAAAATGGCATTCTGCTGTTCACAAGTCTTCCAGTAAGTTAGTGGTATTGTTCGTCCCTGTTTGAACTTGTAATTTGTTTGAATCACAACAGATTTGGTTGTTCACCAAATCAACACATGATTGTCAGATGAGTAATACCTTGATAAATTGTTGGTAACCCAGAAAATTGGTTTGTGTGAGAAAGACCTATCCTACTATACACTTGTACAGTGAATACATATCTGATATACAGGGTTATTGTGTCATTGAGTTTAGTGCATGCGTTTTATGAATATACTGAGTATGTATACATTTTGTTTACTTTCCTTTATTTGTGTTCATTTTGCAAGACCGAGCTGAAGCTTCTGGTCTTATGCCGGAATAGGCAAATATTACAGAAGTTGAGTTTTTCATTGATTTTATTTTCATTCACTATCCTTATCATTGTTCGTGTAAATGCTATTATTTTAGTGTGCCATATTTAGTTATTCATTCAATTAAACCATCAACCTTTTGATCTATCAAACTTGATTTATTTTCTTGGATTTTGAGAATGACCCAAACTTAATAACTCTTACATTTACCTTATTTTAGCTCTGTGGCATTATGTTACCTTATTTTAGCTCTGTGGCAACCCGATATGTTAACAAATCCTTTGATATAACATATTTCATTATATGACAGGCTGAGGGTTGGGAGAATTATTGTAAAAGCCAAATTGAATATGCACGCTACTTTATGTATCATATGTTTTACCCATGTGTCTGTTTACGCTGCTATGAGACCCAAGCTATTCCCCCGCATTTCATCCAAATTGATTTTGCACATCATGAAATGGGATCTCACAGTTAAATTATAAATTGATATGGTCAGGTTTTTTTCTCTCCGGTTCATTTTAACCTTATAAAACAATTTGATAGAAAAATTATGGGAAAGGAAGAACTTCTATGAAATCCCATTTGAAAGAGCTTTTGTTGAACCTCGCAGCTCAAATATTAAAATTGATATAATTTATAATGAAATTAACGCAGTATCCCTGATAAGCCACAAAAACAATTTCCCTTTTACAAAGATATTGTAGGCCATGATGGTGTGTTATGAGGTGGTCTTGTTTACACTGAGGCATGTTTTTACATGAAGGGTTGCATTGCCACACAGCTCTATGAAAAAAATACCTAATGAACGTCTCATTTAAAAACAAGTCCATTTACTACTAGTAAACTATGCATAAGACGTCAACATGAATCGGATTTAGGGGCAGGGACGACAGGAGTGTAAAAGGATGTAAGAATTGTCAAATTAAGATGAATTACAGTCACAATTTAAAAAATAAGAAAGAAAGTTAAGCATGTTACTGTAATTTGGTTGTGGTGAATTGTTGGTAGCATTAAGCATTGGATACGTTTTTTGTCATGTTATACACTAGTGTTGTTATATTATGTATTTGCCATGAAGCCCTTCTCATTGTATATATCATGTGGGCGGAGCAACGTTCTTGCATTGCATTGCATGTTGAATCTCTAGTCAGTTTTAGTTTGAACCCTGTCCCCGTGTTATCTTACCCTGCAACCTGGTTTGTTGTCCCATTTTTCAAAAAGAAAAAAAAAACATAAATGTCTCTTACAGTCTTTAATAATTCAAATGTGTATTCATAGCGTTTGTGCAACAGATTTACTCCATGTTACGTTTTGAAAACATGTTTGAAGCATAAATTTGTGCTTTCATAAAGGTTGAGATTAGGTAGTCCTTACACATCTCGCACAACACAGGCTAACTTCAGTTTTGAGGGTATAATTAAGCTGTCAGCTCAGCTCTTTGGTATACTTTCATACAAGCTCTCAACGCCACTCGATATGATTGGTTTTCATTACCTTGAAGTGTATGACAGAAATACCAGAATGGTCTCTGATTCGGAAACATTTACAGCTGAATAATTTTGGTTGAAGTGTCAGAACTTGAGGTTTCATTTTTTCACATTTAAGCTGATGTTAGTGTGGAAGTGTGTAATATGCGCAAGCTGTTACATACTGACATGCGTTACTTTTACTTGAAGTTTTAATGCTACTATAATATATAATAGTAATGAAAATATTGAAAATGTTTGATGATTGATTTTCCATACAAATTACATTTTCCACTTTAAATCTAGATAGACTCAAAATAACAAAAACAAATATAAAACAAATTGTTTAACTATTAGATGAAGTATAGTCAGTCTGAGAGCTTTTGGAAATAAAATCCATACCTGGTTACCATAGACATATAGATATACACCATATGGAAACCAGATTCATAGTTACCAAAGACTTAATCTACACGCAGTAACAACAGACTTACCAGAACTTAACAATGCTTTATTGAAGACGTGTTGACTTATATCTTTTTAATTTATTTACTGTTGATGTAAAATGCTTTTGAGGTTCACACTCTTGAGTATCTCTGGTTAAATTATAGAAAACTGATAACTAATGGTAACACTGTAGGAGTTACAAAGAACTTGTTCACAATGTATGAGTAGCACTACCATCTGTATATCTGATTCACATTCACTGGATTGCTAGTTACTGTTTAATAACTGAAAATGAAATCCTGAAAGTTTTGTTCAGTATCTATAAAGAAGATTGTATTAGACATACGAAGCATGTCCATTGTTTTATATAAACGTTGCATTTACATCCAGTTTACTATAATGAGGAGGGGTCCTGTAACTGGTCGAGGACACTCCCTGATGTAACAGTATAGGCAAACTGATTACGAAACATCACGAAATTGCTTTTTATCAAAATTATGAACTAACTTCAGCTCTGTTGATATGTATTGACTTTTATGAATGAATTGTTATTCAAAACAAAGTGCATTTCCTTTGAAGGCAATGTTCAAAAACGATTTTTGTGATATTGTTTATTGAAATTAATTTTAGATTGGAAAAAAATAATGCAAACGATTTTCCATTGTATTGTTTCTATTATAAACAAAAGCTGGACTTTTATGGGTGTTAGGACCAGGGCAATGTTTGTGCCGTGTTAGACGCATGCTTTTATACCATGTACCTACATATATACCAAATGTTACAATAAAAAGTGTGTATTTAGCTATCAACTTGTTTTTTCTACTTATTATTGTCATTATTGCTCACCTTTTCAAAATATATTGAAAATTTAGTTAAGTAGATCTTTCTCAAATAACTTATATAAGCTCTGCTTAATCGTTTGAAGTGCATGTTTCATTTTGAGACTAATAGGGAAAACAAGATGGCAATGTGCCGGGGTCAAAGGTTACAATAAGCAATTAATGGTGAACAAAATTTGTTTGTTTTTAGGTCACCTGGGTGATGATATTTGGCCAGTAGCATGCTAGGGTAAAGGGCTATCAAGTTTGTTCAAATGAATGACCTTCACCCATATTCAAGGTCACAGGGTCAAATATGTGAAAAACATCAAACAACTTCTTCTGAATAACCAAAATGCACAGGTCGATGATATTTGGCAAGTAGCATACTGAGATGAAGGGCTACAAAGTTTGTTCAAATGCATGACCTTCACCAATATTCAAGGTCACAGGGGTCAAATATGTTAAAACGTTTAAACAACTTCTCAATAACCAAAATGCCCAGGGTGATGATATTTAGTCAGTAGCACACTAGGATCAAGGGCTACCAAGTTTGTTTAAATGGATGACCTTGAATCATATTCAAGGTCACAAGGAGCAAATATGTTCAAAATATTTAAACAACTTGTTCTGAATAACCAAAAGGCTCAGGATGTTGATATTTAGTCAGTAGCATGCTGGGATCAAGGACTACTATGTTTGTTAAAGTGAATGACTTTGACTTATATTCAAGGTCACAGGGGTCAAATTTGCTTAAAATCTTTAAACGATCTCTTCTGAATAACCATGAATCCCAGGATGTTGATACTTTGCAAGTTGCATCCTGAGATGAAAGGCTATAAAATTTGTTCAACATGATGACTTAATTTGCCTGTAGCTTTATTTTAGATCACTTTTAAGGTTACAAGTGTGAGATTTATACCAGGTGAGCGATGCAGGCCCATTGGGCCTCTTGTTCAATATGACATACTGTGGCATCCGTCGTCCATCTGTATGTCAACAATTTCTTCAAATATCTTCTCCTTTTAAACCACTGATTGGAATTTAACTGAATTTGACTGGAAGCATCCCTAGCTAGGTGGTAGGGTTTCAAAATTGTACAAATGATGAGGCTGACCTCCAAGGGGGGCTAAAAGGGGTCGATTTGGCTATATTGCTAAAACAATACACTTCTTTTCTAGAACTATGTATTGAATATCAATCATATATGGTTGAAAGCATTCATGGGAGGTAGGGATTCAAAATTGTACACTTGGAGGGACTGAAACCCCCCCCCAGGGGTCTGAGGAACAGTGCAAAAAAGGGTTATTTGGGTTTTTTGCTTTAAGCGACTTCTTTCGGTTTGGTTTGGTGTTACTAGGTTTACCATCCTAACAGCTATGGTAATTTAGGTTTGGTTTGGTGTTCCTAGGTTTACCATCCTAACAGCTATGGTAATTTAGGTTTGGTTTGGTGTTACTAGGTTTACCATCCTAACAGCTATGGTAATTTAGG